TGCTACTACTACTACTACTACTACTACTACTACTACTAACAATACTACTACTAATAATAATAATTTACTTAATTTAACTACTAGAGTAGCCACTACTACGTACCCCCAACCACTCGGACTACTACTACGACTAATACACTACTACTACTTAACTTTCTACTACTATAATACTTACTATCTACTACTACTACGACTACTACTACTACTACTATTGAAAATTATACTACGGACTACTACTTACTCACTTATGCACTACTAGCTACTGAAATTACGACTACTACTCGACTACGACGACGACGACGACTTACTGACTACGACGACGGTACGACGACTACTACTAATACTACGATTCTACTACACTACTACTCTTACTACTACACTACTACTAATTTACCTTAAACGACCACGGACTACTACTACTACTACTACTACTACTACTACGACTACGACTACGACTACTACTACTACTACTACTACTACTACTACTGCTACTACTATTACTACTACTACTACTACTGTATCCCCCGCCGTCTGGCCGTGCCATGCGCGAAGCGCCAACTATACAAGGTGGCGCTCCGTTTTCTCTGGAGAGGCAGCGACGCGCCATAGGCCGAGCCAGATCGAACCAGGATGAAATCGAGATTAGATCGAACACGCCATCTGCAGGCTGAGGGCGCAGAGGAAAAGAGAACAAAGAGGGAGGGAGGGAGGGAGACTTGAGCAAAGGTGGCCATCGGACACGATGGACGGCAACGGGACCGACGGCGAGGATTCAAATACGTGTGGAACACTGAACTGTATCACCCGCCGTCTGGCCGTGCCATGCGCGAAGCGCCAACTATACAAGGTGGCGCTCCGTTTTCTCTGGAGAGGCAGCGACGCGCCATAGGCCGAGCCAGATCGAACCAGGATTAAATCGAGATTAGATCGAACACGCCAAAACAGACAATTGCCCAAAACAGTCGAATGGCCAGAGGCCGTAAAATTCATTTACATTCTAGACATAACATTCTGCATAGCGGCCGCCCTTCGGTAAATGATAGCATCATCGAAGAGGAGCGACAGCTGACGACACAAGGGCGGGGGGTAGGCTTCGGCGACGGCGGCCCAGAATCGACCGTCGGGGGCCCGACCCTCAAGGACTTGGCGGGGGCGACCGCTCCGGCTGCAGCACCCGTGCACACGCTTGCATACTTTGACAAGTGGCGAGAGGTCGAGGTGGGCGGCCAAAAAAGATGCGCGCTTCCTCCAGGGCGCGCCCCATTGGCAAAAATCAGCGTTGACAAGAGCCCAGGCCCTGGACCGAATGAGAGACGCGACAGCGGGGGCAAGCCAAATTCGCGAGGTGCTTGGATTCTCCATAGAGCAGGGCACTTCCATGCGCCTCGCCACAAGGAGGAGCGACACTGAAAATCCCATCATTAGATTCCCAAAACCGACCGCAGACTGGGAGGAAGCACTCAAATCAGGCAGACCAAGAACGTGCGTATCAGAGCGGAGGCGCGGGGGGCCTGGTTGAATATCGCGGGCCCTCGACCAACTCCCACACGGAGTGCCCAGATGCAACCCAAGCACCAGACCCCCCAAGATCCAGCCGCGCACAAGTCGGCGTTTGGCGGGGCCCCTCAGATCGTACTCAGCCCCGTGACGGATGTCCCAGGCCAAAACGCGGTACCCGCGTCGACTCATGGCACGGCTGAGACGCCCCGAGCCCGAGAACACTTCCAAGAACACCCGCACCTTCAGCACGCCTGTAACGGCGGGGCAGCGAGCCTCCCTAAGAGCACCTCGGGGAGCCCGCTGTGGCACCGCAGGGCGTGCCTTTGGAGCGGTCCTGGGAGGCGGGCGAACTGCTCGCTGAGACGCCCGCCCTTCTCGTAGCGCCGCACCGACGTGTCGGTCTTCCAGCGCCCCCTCCTCTTCACCTCGCGGAGCGGCCGCAGCTGGTTCACGAAGTCCCTGCTGGCGCCCGTGCGGCGGAGCAGGTACGGCACGGGCTCGGGTTTGACCCCGAGGCGCCGCGCCGCCCGCCTGAACAGCGCCGCGAACTCCGCGACGCCGATGCGGAAGAGAGGCTCGTCCCCGCTGCGGCCGGCCACCAGGCGATGGAGCACCCCCGACAGCCACTGGTCGCAATCGAGGTCGAGGACCAAGCTCTCGTCGAACTCGGCGGTCTTGCTGGCCTTCGCGCCCCCGCCCTCGCGCGGGTGGAACAGCAGCGCCCAGCGCCGCAGGGCTAGGCTGCCCGCCGCCCGCGGCGGGATGGCGTGGCGCACCAGCACCCGCCCCCACTCCCCGGGCCTCATGTAGAACACCATAGACAGCACCGCGCAGGCGGCCGCCTCCCACTGGCCCATGAGGACGAGCTCGCACGCGATGGCCGCCACCAACTCCTCGGGGAGCGGCAGCCTTGCCCGCGCGGGCGTCAGCACCCTCCAGCCGCGCAGCGTCTGGCGCGCCGCCGGCAGCGAGGCCGACCCGTCGCGGCCGAGCCGCGGGTCGCTCCACTGCGGCGCCGCCAGCATCTGCACCCCGCGCCAGTGGTCGACACCCTCGAGGTACTGCGACAGCATCCACTCGGCGAGCGCGAGGTCGATCCTCTCGACGTCCGAGGCCGAGAGCGGCCCCACCTCTCCGTGGTCGACCGAAAAGCGAGGCCGGCGCGGCAGGCCCTGCTCGTCCATCCACTCGTCGAACTCGTCGTCCAGCTGCTGGTAGCGGGTCCTGACGGCCTGAATGCGCACGGTGCTCCTCCTCAACATATCCCGCGAGCCCTCCTCGGTGAGCTTCGCGGACCGCCGAGACAGCTTCCTCCGCTTCACGGCCTGCGAGGTCGCCAGGTTCGTCGAGTCCGAGGGCGGCAGGGAGCCAACCGGGCCCGCGGGGCCCACACCGTCCAGTAGGCGGCGTAGCCGAGGCGCCGTCGCAGCGGGCGGGCTCGTCAGAGCCCGCGTCCGTGGCAGCTCCCTGGCATCGACCGCCCCCGTCCGAGGTCGCCTCCGCGTCAGCGCCTCCGCCTCCTGCTCGGGCATATCCAGCATGCCGGAGCCCTCGCGACGGACCGTCCGCGAAGTTCCACTCGCTGGGCAGCCATCGGGCGGTGAGGCGGAGGCCTGTGGCCACGACATGGGCAGCGATGGCGCGGAGCGCCCCGCCGACCCCTGGCGCCGAAGAGCGCCCCTTGCTCAAAGCCAAGACGGATGACAGCGAGTCCGAGAGGAGGAGGTTGTGGCGCCCAAAAGACGCTGTTGATCGGCAGATATGCTTAACCCCGAACGCCAGCGCCCGGGCCTCCCCCTCTACGACGTTGTCGGGCGGGCCCCCCCACTTGTGCGAGCCCACGACAGCCCAACCCTCTTCCCGAAACTCAGCAGGCAGGCGACTGACCGCCGACTGGCGAGCGTTGATGCAGGCCTCCTCGGAGCCCACGATGTCCTGGAAATCCTTGGAGCTCTCAAGGGGCCCATCGCCAACTCCAGCCCAAGCCCTCGACTGCACGTTGTTGCCCTCCAGGAACCGCCGCCTCTCCGAGAAAACGCCCACGGAGCCCACGAGGTCCTCACTGAAGCCCTTGCTGACCAGCCCGAAGCCCCAGAACGACGCGTCACTGCACATCACGGCCCGACTCCAGGCAACCAACATACTTCGCGAGATCATCCCCAGAAGGCTCGAGAACGCGTTCAGCTCCCAGCGAACTGACTCCCAGAGGGATACAGCGGCACAGCGGCGCAGCCTCCGCACGAACGAGTACACGGAATTGAAGATGGACAAATGCTCCCGACATAGTAAGGCGACAAACGTGCAATGTCCCAACACTTTTTCGACGTCTCTCGGGTCCACGGTATTGCGGCTGACCAAGCAGTCAAGAGCCAGCCGAAGTCGCCACAGCCTTGATCTCTCGGGTCGAATCTCGCACTCTTCACCCCGGATCTCCCAGCCAAGAACGTCGGCATTGTGATCGCACATGCACACCTCATGAGTTGGAAGACCCGTCTGTGTCAAGGCCGCGTTGACTAGGGCGACGGCACGCCGCACCGCCTCGGGGTCGGTGCCCAAGGCCAAAAAATTGTCAACGTATATAGTCATTGCCAGCGGCTGCAGCCCCGGCAGTACGCTCTTGTCCGCAATGAACTTCACGGCACATCACTCAGCTCGGGAATCGAGCTGACTATGGAACGGCGGATGGTCTGGCACCAGTACAAGGCGTGCGACCAGCCCATCGGGAGCACGGCCAGCACCGGCCAGACACGGCTCCCAGGCTGTAGCGGCCGCTCTCGAAGCCTCACCATCCCCACGTCCCCGGCCTTCACGGACGGCAGGGCGAAGTAATCCCGGAAAGCCTCGGGCAGGCCGAAGTGGTAAAAAAGCGTCGCAGATGTCCACGTGCCCGACGTAGAGCTCCTTGCCCTCAGGCACGGACAGCTCGCCAAGAGAAGAACCGGTGGCTAGCGCAACAGATGCAGGCCGTTGAAACCAACAGTTGGCCCGACGGCAGTCGACCACCATGCGTTGCTTGCCAGTCTTCTTACGGGCGAAGAAAAGACCGCACCTCTCGCGCGGCGTGTCCGTGTAGGTCACCATCCCAGCGTCGGCGAGCCGCTTGACCAAGCGGGCGTACACCCGCGGGTCTCCTCTCAAATTCGTGTCCATGTACGGCTGCCTCGGGGCTGCCAGAAGATTGGATTCTGCCTCCTCAGTTCGAAGAAGCTGCTCGTGTATTGAGGCCTCGACATCGAAATCGCCCTCGTCCTGAAGCAGCTGCCCGAGCGGCACAGGGATGTTGCCGGCCTCCGGCAGCGAGACAAGGGAAGCGTCGAAGCTGACCACCGGCGAGTCGAGATCTTCGCACACGCTGGCGCCGCGGAGCTCTCTGAGGGCTCCCGCGGGAGTGAGGTCGGGTGGGGGCGGGCCCAGCTCGACTGCGGCGCGGCGGACGCGCTCGTGCACCAGCCGATGGGGAAGCCGCTCCGCCAGGCCCGGGGCGCCTGGCGCCTGGGGCCTCCCGGCCAGGTCGTTCAAGGCCCCGATGACGCGATTGCACTCCTGCACGATGGCGTCACGCCGAAGCAGCCGCCGCCGCACACTGCGGCACACCGCGCCCTCTGAGGGCGCCTGGCTGTCCACTCGCAGAAGGGGGACAGGAAAAAGGCCCCGACGATCAGCTGCATAATCGGGTTGAATTCGCCCAGGCATGGATGAGGGATCGCCCTCCATCCTGGCGGCCTTGAGGTCCGGGGAGGAGGCGGCCGCCCGATGGCCCCCCCCCCGCTGCTGCATCATCCCTTGCCTCCGCCGCCGTCCCCTGCCTCGGGGCCCTTGCGGCGGAGTTATCGTTCTTCTCTGGCTTTCCGAATGTTCTTCATGATGGCGGCATCCTTCTCGACCTGCGTCTTGACGTGCTCCAGCAGCTGAGGGGCCACCATGAGGAGGTCGCCCGCCTTGCTGAAGCCGCTGAACGCCGAGAACTCCTCAGGGCTCATCTTGTCCTTCGAGCTCGCGGAATCCGCCTCTCGAAGCCGATCACGATAAGCCCACTCGATGGTTTGCGCCCGGCGGAGGATCGCCTCCGCGAAGGCGCAGTTGCTGAGGTCAAGCTGGTCGTAGGTGCCCGCCAGCTCGAGGTACTTCATCAGCTGCTCATGCTCCTGGACTCCCCATTGCTCCATCTGGAGGCGGGCCGTCGTCTTGAACATCAGGTGGTGGTCCGTCGGGGTGTGGCGCCTCCGCAGGAAGTCGAGACACCATGACGTCGACCTCGGGCCCGCCACAGGGAAGTCGCCGAACGGCTCCTCCTCACACGAGTCCACCACGCCCCGCCACTCGCGCCCCCGGCCGCGCGGCCCCGTCCTCACAGGGAGGGCGCGGGCGTCGCCCGTCGTGGCCGCACCGCCGCCGGGGGCGTCGCCGACCGAGGCAGCGGGCCTGAGGGAGGCCGCGAAGGCGTCCTTGTCCAGGGCAGTGAGGTGCACCACGACGGCCCGCCCAGGCGCCACCTCGAACAGCCCGCGATCGTGCAAGGCCAGACTCGGGGTGCCGACCCAGTCGCCGATCTCGATTGGCCGCGAGCTATCAGGCTCCGCGGCGCGCCAGAAATGCCACGGCGGAGGAGGGGTCACGGTGCCCCCCACTGAGTTGGGCACCGCGGGGACAGCCAGCGCATCGCCGCCGTCCGCCACCTGGTCGCCAGGCCCGCCCGTCCCGGCCGCCAGCGCGTCACCAGCGGCAGGCATTCCCTGCTTGCCAGTCACCCGCCGACCGCCGAAGAAGTTGCGCCCGACCTCATCCTCCACCGAGACATCGCGGCCCTCCTGGGAACAGATCACCTGGGGCGCCGCCAGCTGCAGCCCGCGACTCCGAGCGTCGGCCGTCGAGGCCGCGTATGCCCGGCGATACAGGCCCCGCAGCTCGCCGGGCTGGTCCTCTCCAAAGCGGTAGGACCGGCCTAGTCCTGGCGGCAGCCGCAGGTCTCGGGCCACGAGCTGCCACTCCACGGGGCTGTCCTCCAGCGAGCCGCCCTCTAGCTCTTCGAGGTACATGTCGCCGTCCGGGGTCAGGACGACCCAGCACACCCCGTCCTCAACGTCCGAGGCGGCCGGGTACAGGAGGATCCGCTCGGGCCAGAGGTCGTC